GGTCCGGTGCAGGCGCGACACTGAGGGTTGCGGTCCGTTGCCGGACACAAAAAAAGACAAAAAGGAAAAAAAAAAAAGAAAAGAAAAGGTCTGTGTGGGTTTTGATGAGTCTGCTCATTAATAACAGATTCTTTGGGGTTGGGTGAAGTATACATTTACAAATAATAGCAATTATAATAACAGCAAGGATTTCTTCAGCAACTATTATCTGCTCACTCTTTTCATACACTGTGTTATATTTTATTTGAACTCTTAAACGAGCAGGTCCTGAATGTCATTGTTAATGAGCACCTACTCTGTGTGAGGCACAGTACTAGGCAGGAGTGGGGAAGGGTGTGGAAAGAGAACAAAGAGGGCTGGCTGGTTAGCTCAGTTGGTTAGAGCACAGTGTTATAATCACCGAGGTCAAGGGTTCGGATCCCCATACTGGCCAGCCACCAAAACAGAAAAAAGAAAAGATGAATAAAGACATAGTCTCTGTCTCAGGGAGAACAGCTGCCTGGAAAAGATTTTGTGTTGTATTAACACTGTCATTCTGATTTCTTTTCCCAAGTTATGTGATATGTTGAAGACAGTAAAATGCAGTTTTTGACCATTTCCTGGGAGTTGCCCCTTTTCTTCATTTCAAAGGGTTGAACCTTTGCCATTGTCCTTACACCTGATTGCTGTCCCTTGAACTTGACTTTGAGTGCTCAGGAACACTGGGCTTTTGGGACAGTCTGTCCTCCTAGTGACTCGTATTCTGATAGATGGTAAGTGGGAATAATGATCATCACAATAATAGCTTTCCTGCCAATAAACCCTATCATGAGAGAAGGCCCACTCAAATAGCACTTGACAGTAATTCTTGAACCAGCATTCAGCTGTTTTCCAACACTGTTCTTTGTTTGCACCAGGTCATGCATGGGTCTCAGCCACAAAGTTCAACACAAAATGGATTGTTTGGTTTGGTATTGTCCCATCTCTCACAGATTTCAAAGAACTAAAGAGACAGTGCAGGTTTGAATATATTCAAACCACAGGTAGCCTTTCATGAATTTATGTGTCGGGGTTCTTGATGAAAAACATCGTTGATCGATGGGAGCATGAAAATGGAATATATTCAAACCACAGGTAGCCTTTCATGAATTTATGTGTCGGGGTTCTTGATGAAAAACATCGTTGATCTGGATGACTGATATAATATTAAAAGTCACAGTCTTTAACAATCTCCTCTTTTTACTCTCTCTAGATATATATGTTTTTATTTGCAGAAGGCCTGTTTGTCAGCTGCTGGGGACAGAAAGCTCCATTTAATTTAGCTTGAGGAAAAAGAGGGCTGTACAGCTTCTCATAACTACAATGTCCAAGGATAAGCTTCAGACATGGTGGGATTCGGGGATCCAAATAATACTACTAGGCCCGCCTCTCCATCCTTTGTTCCCTGTCCATTTCGTTGGTTTATTCCCAAGCAAGCTCTCTCTACTTGGCTTGACAGTTCCAGGCTCTGTTTTTCCGTACATCTCGTCATCTCAGTGAATAGAGGTTTCTTTGCCCCAATTGTTCCAACAGAAGTCCTCGGATTAGGTCTAGTTGGACTGACTTGGATCATATGTCTGGCCCTGGTTGGTGCTGAGATTAGCTTTGCCCAAGTCAGGTGCACTGAGAATTGAGGAGGGGCAGTTCTCTAATGGAGAGTTAGGTTGCTTTTCAGGGAAAAGCATGAATGGATACCGGGGAAGCAAAACCAGCAGACATTTGCCTAGAAGGACAAGAGGAGGAGCAGATTGTGATAAAAAAAATGTCCTCGTGTAGTCAAGGTCCTGAGTGGATTTGGAGGTGTACTGCATATGTCAGAGTCCTGGCAGGAGATGGATGGGATTTAATTCAGGGATAAGTTTATAAGATGTGCCCAAGGTAAGAGAAACCATTAAGAGATGGGGAAGCACTCCAGGGCTAATAGCAGGAGAGGGCACTCCAATCCCTTGACCTTTTAGGTCAAGGGGAAAAATAGCAGTTACCTGCAACCAGCAAGACTTGTAGCTGTAGAAGAGGGCCACCCACTACCAGCTGTGGTCTTTGAGAGAAACACAGCCCCTGCCAACCCCTCCCCACGGATCCGCTGCTGGTGTCTCCCAATGGCTTAAGCTGACTGGAAGCCAGAGGCAAGGGAGCCCCACTGAGGCACTCTGTGAGGGTCAGCCTCCCAAGGCCCCGAGCAGGATGGAAAAGGGCAGAGACTGTGTCTGGAGGGCCGAGCCTTCCGCACAGCTGAGATGGACTCAACTCTCAAAGGGACTTTTCTGTCATCTTTTAAAATACAAGCTATGTTTAAATCATTACCATTTGGGTAGTTGAAAAATGGTATTGTGTCATTACTAGTGATATTGAAAATTTTTTTTAAGTTTCCATTTTCTCACTTATTGTCTTGTGCCTTTTGCTTATTCCAAATTATTAGTAGACACATTATTAGGCATTTCCCATGGAGCGGCAATAAAGGTGTGCATAAAAAGCTTTTTTCGTTTTTAGAATACTATTGTTCTTATGATGGAAGTTCAGATAATCATTACAAACGTCTCCTTACATATATTATGCAGTGCGTCTGTAAGAGCAGGAATAACTTATCATGGACAATTATTAGAAGGAAAAATGTCTTTTCTTGCCTTCAGCTTCAAAATTTCTCAAAAGATTATCATAGATCAAGGTCAAGCAAACAAATCCAAACTGGAAAATTTTTTTGAATAAATATTTAATACTGAACCCTAGTGTGGAGACATATGAATGGTTTTTAGCAAAATGTTACAGTGAATGGCAAATCTGTAATACTGTGCCTTTCTTATATTATCACAAATATCAGCGAATTCACTTGGTATTTGTAAAGATACAGAGTGTGATCTTATATATATTCGGCTGTAATTTACCTTCAATTGATGTCCTTTGTCTTTTCCTATACTGTTAAGCTTTGATTTTGTAGATTAATAACAATGGCTCTGTGACAAGATTGCACAGATTATATTTAATTTCAAGTTTTCAGGAATGGCTTTTACATGAACTAAAATGATATGAAACAAGAACAGTTTCCTTTTTAAAACCCTATTCAGTACAAGCCCTAAAACCTCCTCAACACTGCACAGGAGGAAAAAATATTGACATTATTCTTCCCTGTGAGATGGTCTGGGGATTTGAAGAATGGTTTTGAATGAGAGAGAGAGTTTGCTGCACTCCAAGAAAGGACATGGGGACTGGAAAGGAGAGTGGAGGCCGGTGTTAGTACAGCTTGCAGGGAGGACAGGCCAGAGACTGGTCTAGAGGAGGTGAGGATTGATCCTGGAGGAAGGTGACAAGCAAATCTGGTACCTTGACTGGCACCTAATTATGGAAGATCTTGAAAACTGAACAGAATGTTTTGAATTTAATTTGGTGGGTAGTAGGGGGCTTTTATATACCAAATCAGAGAGGAGGGAACTTGCTGGTGATCTGACCCATCCTCATCTTTTCACACATGAGGAATCTGAGCCCCAGAGAATGGAAGGTGTTTTATCTAAAGTCATACTCAAAATTAAGATACAAAAATAATTAGAGAGTAAGACAAAGCTGTGATACCATTATTTCTTTTATTTATTTTTCGAAAGAATCCACTGTAACTCATCCTCTGCAATCACTTTTGTTTTCTCCTTAAACTTTAGTAACCTTTCTCTGGACTCTACAGTATCAAGGTCAGTGCTGAGCCAATGGCCTTTGAGCTGGGGCCATTTTCTCCATTTCCTTGACTTCCTGGTCCTGGAACCAACCCACAGCAACAGTCCCACCCTGCTTTTCTCCTCCTTAAACTTTAGTAACCTTTCTCTGGACTCTACAGTATCAAGGTCAGTGCTGAGCCAATGGCCTTTGAGCTGGGGCCATTTTCCCCATTTCCTTGACTTCCTGGTCCTGGAACCAACCCACAGCAACAGTCCCACCCTGCTTTTCTCTTTGTGTGCCATCACCAATAGACGGGTCACATCTTTGTGTGCCATCACCAATAGACGGGTCACAAGCATCAATGTACAGTTTCCCATGATCATATTAGTTCTTCAAATCTGTTGACACTTTGCAAGCCCCAATCTGGCCCAAGAAGGTCCATAAATACTAATTCCTATCCTGAATTGTAAAATGCAACATACCCCAAACACATTTTTCGATCTTTGTTTTTTGGGTAATCTTGTTGTTTATCTATGCATTGAGGTATTTTCAATGGTCCAATTTCTTTTCCTGTGTTTGTGTGTGTGTGTGTGTGTGTGTGTGTGTGTGTGTGACTGGCTGTACAAGGATTGAACCCTGGACTTTGATGTTATCAGCACCATGCTCTGATCAACTGAGCTAACTGGCCAGCCCTCAGTGAGCTAATCTCTGACAAGAGAAAAACAAGCTAAGTTCTGACTCTCTTGCTACTTAGAAAAGACAATAATAAACAGAGACATGGGTGAATTGCTGAATTCTGTTTGTGCTCAGTCCATTGGGCGTTGCCTTTGCTTTACCTGTTATCTCAGTTTGCAAAACATTTCTTGTCAGATTAAAAATGCAAAAACACAACACAACAAAACAACCCAGTTGGAAGCTCTGAGGTGCAAGTTCAGTTCTTGGCTTTACTTATTCTCATTTCAGATTCTTTCCAAGGGGAGTGTTTACAGAGCAGTGACTCCCCATGGTGTTATTGGAGGAAAAGAAGTTGGTAATTCACATTTGTTATATGCCTCATCTATTTTAGGCAATGTGCTCTAAATATTCCCAATCCCATGAGGTAAGCTTGGGGAATTTGAGTAGTTTTTCTAAGATCACTCCTAGTAAGTGGCAGAGCTACAATTTTGAGCATTTCTTTATAACTCACAAAGCCTAGCACTTTCCACTAAGCTGAGCTGGTAAAGGGGCCCAGGAAACATCTGTCCATGTGAGTCAGGCCTCCCTGAATCCAGTCTCAGAGCAGCACCACAGAGCAAAAGCACAGTTTCAGAACTAACTGATATACCAAAATAACTCAAATCCTTTATCTACAATTATGAAAATAAGGGAAAATCATATACCTGGCCAGAGCAACACTTATTAAAATCTTGTATTCTCTTCTATTCGTATCTATCTTATATTTTTAACTGCTTTCATTCTTCTCATGATGCTAAAAGACAAAAACCAAGAAAGAGAGATTCTCTCCTCTCTGTTTTTCCCTTCCATTCTTGAGTACATCAATCAATTGAACCTCTCTGGTTAGGTCCCTCCTTTTATCTTCTGCACAAGAATTTTCCTCCCTTCTCATCTTCCTAATTTGTACTATAAAAGTCCAAAGAACAGGTCTTGCAGAGACTGAAATCATCTTTGATTGGACAAGTTAGGGGAAGACAATTTGTGTATCACACACACACACACACACACACACACACACACACACACACACACAGAGAGAGAGAGCTGGCCTTGCTTTGC